GAAAACAAATCAATTCTAAAAATATTTGTTAAAATTAATGAATTATGTCATTTGATTTTTAATAATTCACATTCAACATAATTACATTAAATTAATTCTTACATTTATTGTGACGTAAATATGATTATTTTCCGATGTAATCAATTCTGGGAACAACTTGTATCCATACGTATAACAAAATGTTTTAATTATTTTGTTTTGCTTGTGCTCTCCTTTACAGTATGTTAAGCATTATGGTAATCGTCTGCAATGTTATACAATAATCTGTGCACTGATTGGTTAATTTACCAATTATATTCATTGTGATATGATATTTGATTAAGAGTTGAACTTACCTTAGATTGATTAATTATCACCATCATACTGCCATCTACTATGTATTAGGAATTTTTATTTTATTGCTCATTAAATATTAAACAATTTAAATTAAAAATCGTACATTGTATATTTACAATTGTGGTTAAATAGTTGTTAAGATAAAATAAATTTAATAAAAATTATGTATGTTTTATTATCAATGACATAATTAATGTACTTTATTAATATTAGCTTCTATTGTGTTTATAATGACAGTTAATTGTTTTAATTTAAACATTGGAAATTTTAATTTACAATTTTTGGCAATTTTCCCATGATCAATGTTTAAACCACTAAATTATATTGTTATTTAAATTTTATTATATATTGTCTTAAAATTAAAGTAATTATATCTAGCTATAAAGTGTACAATTTTTAAATAGGAAATAAATTTCTAATATTTAATATTGTTATTTGCAATATATTTAGTCCAATGAAAGTAGTAAATCAACAACGATTAAATTGAACAAATCCCAATTTAAAAAATTAAATTTTGTTTTATTCACGCTCTATATCAAATATTGTTACATTTAACTCATCCACATTACATTCCATATATTTACCATAACGGTTAATTCTATAACCACCGTGATCATAGAGAAAACACACCCATTTAGTGCCCTCATATCGGGACTCCATTCTAGCTTCAATATTACGCGCTGTTTTCCTTATACTACTCGACCGGTCGATCGCGTCTAACACAATACCCGTCACAACCGATACCATCGACGCCTTCATATCCGTCTCAATGTTGTCTAATTGTCTAACAATTTTGTTGCGCTCGAGACGGGCCTTGAAATTAGTCCAATCAAGCTATTATGGTAAAAAATTTGATTAATATACTATATAAATAGTACAACACGGACAATCAAATTGGGATGACAATGCACTCGGGATTAATTGTGATAAAATTAACGTACACTCTATATACGGAGTATAGTTGTATATTTCATTACAATTTAATATGTTTTTAATTATAGTTATTTTAATTATTTGTTAAACTTGAAAACACCACATTGAAAAAGCGCATGGACTTAATAGACAAATCAATATAATCACTATTGACTAAAATTGAAAATTAATTTAGATTATATAAAAGACATTACCCTCTTGGAATGATACATAGTAAATGTGATCGGGGTGAATTTCACACGCAGATAGAAACCCTTTTTGGGATTTAGATAGCGTTGAGTGCCGGCACACCATTCGGCCAAACACTGCCAATCGGTGCCGAACTCGAGATCCATGCAATCGACCGCATGTTTGCACACATCGGAAACGGTGTTATGTTTTGCCAACATTTTCCTAATTATGGCCACTGTTTTGTCCCTCATATCGGCGTTCATTTTGTTGATTAACATTACCGGTGCCGACATGTGTTGCCTACACTCGGCTAGCATTTGATTGCCGGATAATTGCGTTGAATTTAATGATGGCAATGGTTGGCCACTATTAGTACCATGGTGATTCAACGCTATGTTCAATGTCTCAACTTTTGCCAGCAACGATTCAATACAGTTATGTTCCGATGTCATGATTGTTTGACAATCAGTACATATCGTAACATTATAGCTACAGTTGACTGTATGCCCCTCTAAATCATCTAGTTTAATAACTACACGACACCCTTTATCCCAGTAATCGGACCGTATCATAAATCTACCCATCGTGTTCACAATAACTCTGAAATAACACGATCGATTAATTATTTTTAAATAATATATTTAAACTTACAGCGATGCTGGGGATAGTTTTCTCGGTGACAATCGTTTCCTATCGTTAGGACAGGTGGTGTTTGACTCAAGCCATTCAGTGATACAGTCCTCGCAGAAAGTATGTCGACAGCTTGTGGTGACCGGAGTGTTGAATATATCCTGACATATACTACACGTGTATTCCTCCCGATCTTCGGCCGACAGGTTGGGGAACCGGTCGACACAATAGCCCGGCATTTATAACGCAAATTATAAATGTCTATTATAATTAAATAAAGTGTCTTTATATTATAATGAACTTCAACTAATGATTCATTAATAATGAATAGGTTTTTTGAATTTCAATAGTAGCAGTAATCTAATGTAAACATAGCTATTTTATCAAATAATATGCTGATTTATAAAGTTTTACAAACAATATTATATATTTATAAAAATTAAATTGATGTCATATACACACAGTAAATGTGATATTTAAATTCTAAACAAGTCTAATAAATTATTGTGTTGACTACAAAATGCATTTCACACAAAATGTTTAATTTTTTGAGAAATTGTTGATTAAGTCTAAAATGTTTTAAGATATGAATTGTAATATAATTTGTTTAAATAACTTTTTTAATAAATTTTCAAAACCAATAACCAGAAGTGTTATCGCAATAAACTTTAATGTTAAAATAAAAGTTATTTTATTAAATTATCAATATATTAGAGAGAGATAGATAGAGATAGATAGATAGAGATAGAGAGAGAGAGAGAGAGAGAGAGA